TGCTAAAATGTTATGAAAGACTAAATATCTGCACTTCTTGACAGTGCTGTGCAGCAAAGGACAAAACGCTGCATATGCCCGATTAAAGCCTATAAACACGCTCGCTCTCAACGCCTCCACTATGCTGTAGGTAAAGCTCTGCTTGCAATCTCTCTGCCCTTGGACTCTAAATTTCATAAGATCTGTTACAAAGGGTTGAGAAACAATGCTTTCTGTATTTTTTCTCCTAAAATACAAAAACTCTCCTGATCCTTTTATCCAAATTTCACAAAAATGACCACTATTTCAGCTGTTTTGGGGGCGTGGCAATCAAAGCTCCGTAAGAAATTATCGGGCTCCACTTTAGAAATTTAGAGATTTAATTTAGATGGCGCAGCCATCTTAATTGGGCAGAAAAAGCAACAGTTGAAGCACTGCCTCCCACATACCATCAGGTGTCCTGCAGAGCGGCAGTGCTGCATACGGCATGACTAATCTGTCAGTGTTGGCCAAACACAGATGAAGGATAGGAGTCAAGCAAATCACAAGAGCACTTTTGGCATGTATGCTACAGCAGATGGAGAGTCACACGGCAGTACAACAGTCACTTTTTTTAAAAACTGTGTGAGGGAGAATAAAAATGAAGCAACATGCTCAAAAACACTCCTGATGTTAAAAAAGGGCCTTGTTACTTCCCACTAGTTTACATCACAGATGTTCACCTGATATTCAAAAGAAGCCCAAATTTGGCTCTGCATCAAACGCTCTACTTGTATGTTAATATTCAGGATGTTCAGTGTTTTTTCCTTCACATTCGTACATCAGTGACTGTGGTCAAAGAAGGACACATCAACCTCCGGATTGGCAGTCGAGTGCTGCCTCTCTTGAGCTGCAGCCATCCCCGGTCTTCGGACTTCAGTGAAGGCAAAACAAATGCCGGTCCAAAAAATCCCCCTCAAGTTTCTGACAATCTGACAGATAAACAGGTCCAAAACTAAAATAGCCTTCTATATTATGAATGCCTAATATGCGGGTGTCCAACAGCAAACAGTAAGGTAGTAAAATGCAGCATGAAAACCCCAGAAAATGGTAAATGTATCTCTTTAGTGCTTAAAAAAGGGCCAAAGACCTGTGCCTGTTAAAATGAGATGAAATTCAAATAAGACAAGAGAATCAGACATTTAACTTGGGCTAATCCAACTTAAAAGGATTTGTGACTACTGCATTTTGATAATTAAACCTAGAAAAATGTGTTAGTGTAAACGTGATTTAAATGTTGGTATATTAACACCCTAATCACATTGTAAAGTTCAGCACTGTAACACCTGTAAGGCTGGTTTGACTAACCTTTGACTGAAAAACAGCAAGCAAATGGGAAACTTCTGTTTCTGCGGATTTCAGTTCAATTTACAGCTGGTTTTATGAGCCCGAAGTGTGGAGGGAGGACTGTGTCTCTAAAGTGGAGGGAAAATCATTACTGTCGCTTTAACCGTCACGATGTGCAAGAGTGATCAAGCTTTATGCCATCATTAATGCATGAATTGATGAATGAGTCAGAGCGGAAAGAAAAATGATCAGCAATCATTCTCCAGTTAATGTAAAGTCCAGAAGAAAACGCATTCAGCAGAGTCAGAGAAGGGACGTTTGTAAGCAGCACAGCTGGCTGAACTGAATGTAAGCAGTAATTGTGGGTTCTGATCACTGGGCTCGGCCCAGGAACTGTCAGGATGCTCATTGGAACTTATCAGCAGATTACCGAGATAAAATCTGGAGCACTGAACTCCCCATTGCGTGATCCATGAGGAGAGATATATCAACAGAGTCAGGGACTGAGGAAAGGGGCCCAAACACCATGCTGAGGACGAAATTAGCAAAACAAAGAAACAAAGAAACAAAGATCTATCAGACAGCAAGCGGTGTCCAAACCGAGCAATTAGAGTCCACAAAGAGAGCAAACATTTCCTTCTAACTAATTAGGGGGAAAAAAGACAACTTCAGAAAGCGAGCAGACTCCCTGTTTGACAGTGTGTGTACACGTCTGCGCACACATGCACAGCAGCAGCTCCTGACCAGAGCTGGCCGAGCGCGAAACGGCGTCTTCCTGGGCTCTAACCTGCAGACTGCAGCAGCTCGTGGTAGTCCACCCCCCTCCGGGTGGGCAGGTCATCATCCCGCTCCAGCAGCGCAGACTCCTCGTAACGGTCCCAGTTTGATGCCAGTTTCCTCCTGGAAAACACCTCTGCCCTGTCCTCTTCCTCCTCAAACCTTTCCTCTTCATCTTGGTGCTAAAGGAGAAGGTTGTATTGAAAAAAAAAAAAAAAAGTTCAGTAAAATAACTGGTTCCAGGCAGAAATAAGCTATCGTTTTATAAGAAAATGTTAAAATAAAGAAAAATTACTTTTAAAAAAGCCTCTAAACCAAGTCTGGAGTCTGCTGCTCGATTCACGTTTTATATCTTCTAATAAAAATGGACAAGTTGGTTTGTAAATATCCTCATTTATATCTTCATACATTCATTTTAACAAACTACATATTCAAATTTTTATTACATTTGGGAAATTTCCAACTGGCCTGAAAATGACATTTCTACTATGAAGGTGAAACCGGGAATATTTCTAATGTTTTAAAAAGCTACGAATATTATGGGGCTGTTTTTAACAACAGGAAGATTTTTGTTTGAATGTGTCGGAAGCAGCATTAGCTTAACATAAAGCTGATCATATTCCACTTTAATGTTGAGACCTCGCTCTTTTTGCAAGGACAAACTAACAGGGAAGAGTCTGTGGATGTTACAGGCAGTAGGGTGGTGGCAGGCACTCGGTTTGTGGCACGACGCTCATTTTGGGAGTCACAGAGCAGATATGAGAGCAGCTGGCGGAGGCAGTGGCTGTTTGTCAGAGCCACAGGTGTCAAACTCCGGTCCTCCAGGGCCGCCGGCCTGCAGGTTTTAGAGCTTTCCTTGTTTCAGCACACCTGATTCACATCAATGTGCCATTAGCAGGCTTTGTGCAAAGCCTAATGATGTTTTGAAGAGATCCATTTAATCAGAGTAACGGGTGTAAAAGCATAATGTTTCTAAAACTTCCAGGACAGTAGCCCAGGAGGACCACAATTTGACACCTATGGACAACAGGGACATGTGAAACATTTCTATAAAAATAAAAATTAAACTTGTTACATTGGACTAAAGATGAGGCAGGTCTTTTCCAGGTTTGAATATGTTTAAATATACAGCCTAAGTTTCTAATTGGGTCTTTCTCAGTTTCCCTGTGGACTGTTTTTGTACCTCTGGTCGTGATACCATTTCACCAGCTGTGCACACCTCAGTGTGTTAACGGCATCAATACACACACTTCCCTTTGTCTTCTCATTACAATGGCAGTATCATGGAGATGAGATTTATCGCACTGACAAAGCTGCAAATGTAGTTTATTATGTATGTTGTGTATGTTTATCATGTATCCTCAGCCTCATAAAAGACAAAACGGTTTTTCTTTTTTCAGCTTTGTCATCAGAGACCACATGATAACGCCAGATGCACCAAAGATTTTAATTGTTGCAATCAAGAAGGCCCTATGTGCCCAAAGAAAATGCCATGATTGCAATCAAGCATCTCCTATTGTTTCTACTCTAATCCTGTAGTTAGCTGGCGGGAGAGTCATCTGACTAAACACTGACTGGAGCTTCTAGTGTCATTTCCAAGGGCCCAAATTAATAAAGTAGTGCTTGATATGTTTTTCTTCAGAGTTTCATCACAGTTGTAGCAGAGGTTAATTTCCTCACACCTGCTTTTCCAAACCCTACCCCCCTAATCGACACAATCCTCTAATGAACGGGTCCTCATCAGAGCTGATGCCGTTATTTGAATCAGGTGTGCCGGAACAGGGAACCATGTAGGGCAGGGTGCGTTAAGGACCACGTTTAAACACTGTTTTTGCGGGCACTCATATTTACAGAGCAAATACAAGTGCCACATAGGGAGTTCTATAAAAGCATCTGCTTCACAAGGTATACCACTTAGCCAAACTTGTTCATGTTGCAGAAGTTTCCATGAGCCTTTGAACTACCCGGGAACCGGATAAACTCACCTTAGGTGTTAGAAAGTAAAACCAAAGTGGAATAAGTAATTTTTAAAATTAAATTCCTACTGGGAAAGGAGTTCGTTTCTTAAAAAAAAAAAAAGCACACTTCAAGGGTTTGTTTTTTGTTCTTTTGCCAAAGCAAAATATCCGCGGTTCTCACCCGCTGAGTTGAGTCCACAGCACCCGCGCGCCCCCCACGAGCATGACCCCGGTGGTGGTCTCGTTTGCCGCGTCCGCGATGGTGTCCTCCTCTGCCCCGGCCACGGTGTTCGCCCCCAAAACTTTCGCCGTCATTTCCACCCCGGCCACCTCTTTTCCAGCCACCCCGCCGATAGTTCCCTCTGCCTTCCATTGCTGAGACTGTGGGCGGACAATTATCTACGCAACACCTCACAGCTCAGCAGCATGGGTGTCGCAGCGAATAGTGTCCCAAGAAAACATTGTTTAAAGGTTCTACGGTCCATGTTTACTTTTAAATGTGAATAAATAAACATTTCGAAGATAAACAGTATTATTCTGTTGTATATATTTATCAAAACCACACATTTAAACACTGTTAAATGGAATATGAAATGATTAACTACAACCTAATAGAAATATATTACACTTAATACAATTTCAGTGTATTTAAAAAGGATGACATTCATTTTAGAACTATAAATATAAACGAAAAGGCCATAAACAATCATAAACTAGGAACCTTTGTTTTATTTGTTCATTTGTTTAGTTGTTTTGTCACATTTCATTCATTTTGTTTTTATGAAAATTTTATATTTATATATCTGGTTATAAAACAATGATGAATTATTTTAAAGAGAGTTTTTAAAAGCATATTAATATCTCACCATTCTTGTCTTTTGTCCCAGGAGTGCAGCTCAGTCTTCATGGGGCCATTAAGGAGCACTTTTCATCTGTAACACAGCTGGATGCCACAGGACAATGGATTTCCAAAACAATACTTTTGGCAATACTTCACACGTGCAGGCTGCTGCTCACAGCCTCTGGGAAGTCATAACCATCGCCACTGTGTCAGCCATTGTCAGCTTGATAACTATAGTTGGAAATGTCCTGGTTTTGCTATCCTTCAAAGTAAACAGTCAGCTCAAGACTGTAAACAACTACTACCTGCTGAGTTTGGCCTTCGCTGACCTCATCATAGGAGTACTGTCCATGAATTTATACACCACATACATACTGATGGGGTACTGGTCTTTGGGGAACCTTGCTTGCGATCTCTGGCTGGCAGTGGATTACGTGGCTAGCAACGCCTCAGTTATGAACTTGCTTGTTATCAGCTTTGACAGATACTTTTCTATTACACGGCCACTGACTTACAGGGCAAAGAGGACTCCAAGGAGAGCTGCCATCATGATTGGCCTGGCATGGTTGGTATCCTTTATCCTTTGGGCACCTCCTATTCTGTGCTGGCAGTACTTTGTTGGAGAGAGGAATGTACCACCAGACCAGTGCCAAATCCAGTTTTTAACTGAGCCTGTGATCACATTTGGGACAGCTATTGCAGCTTTCTACATCCCTGTCTCTGTCATGACCATCCTGTACTGCAGGATCTATAAAGAGACTCAAAAGCGCACAAAAGATCTGGCAGAACTGCAAGGTCTCACCTCGGAGAACGTCCCGGAGGGGACTAAGCCACAGAAGGCCATCATTCGTTCCTGCTTTCATTTCACCAGGGAGAGAAGAGATCAGAGTCAGGCGTCCTGGTCCTCGTCCAATCAGAGCAACGTCACTAAAACCACCACAAGGTCAGATGATGCATGGGTCAAAGCCGACCAGATCACTTCTTTTCACAGCTATACATCATCAGAGGATGAGGAGCATCACGTCTCAATAGAAACTCCTCAAAGGTCATTTAAAGAACAGGATAGTGGACAAAGTGACAAGAATGGGCAGGTACCTGATTATACAGAGGATCAGTATTTTTCCACTCCTCAAAAGAGGAACCGTAAAAAATGCATCTCGTACAAATTCAAACCTGGCTCAAAGAGCAAAAACTGCAGTCCGACAAGTGAAAAAGCATGTCCACCGGAGTCAAAGCAGTCAGCAAACAACGCCTCGCCCTCCACCTCCTCCACCACCTCCAAACCCATGGACCCCGCCCTGAAGAGCCAGATCACCAAGAGGAAGAGGATGGTGCTGGTGAAAGAGAAGAAGGCAGCCCAGACTCTCAGCGCCATCCTCCTGGCCTTCATCCTCACGTGGACGCCGTACAACATCATGGTGCTCATCTCCACCTTCTGCGCCGTGTGCATCCCCACCTCCCTCTGGCACCTGGGCTACTGGCTGTGCTACGTCAACAGCACCATCAACCCCATGTGCTACGCTCTCTGCAACAAGACCTTTCAGAAGACCTTCCGCATGCTCCTGCTCTGCCAGTGGAGACGGAGGAGAGGTGAGTAAAGTGACTTAATGTGGTATCTGCTGCTTTTAAATCCGTCAATATTCTTCAGTCATTGGTCACACGCACACGAAAGATGCTATACTGATGGAAAACTGCAGAACCTAATTTGAACTGTTGTATTTTCTTTTCTTTATTTTAAAGAAGGAAGGCTCATCCTGCAAATTCTTGAAACAGGATCAGATTTTGTCCAGGTTAAACAAAAGTGAGGTTCTTAAATGCCATAAGTGTGCTTATAGGCAAAAGTTACATGCGTGAAGTCCTAAATCGGAGGCATAAAGAACCTACCTCTGGTTGAAACTAGACTTATGACAAAACACACAAATCTCTGAGTGAAACATGACTGCTTTGGATTGTGAGACATGAGGCCCTTTATCAGCTTTCTTCCTTGACTGTAATTGTACAGCATCAGTCACATGAGTGTCAATTAAAGTCAGTGGAAAGATAATTTCATAAAGCTCTCAGATTCCTATTCAAACGACTACATAGTTGGGCTGTTAGTTTATTGTACCTCTCCAATGACCTCACTTTAGACAAGTCAGTGCAGTATGAGGATCGTACCATGCCCAGACTTACACAGATTTCAAAAAGGTCAAGCACATATGTGTTGAAATGTTTAGACTCAACTATCAGAACATGCCTCAGCATAACGAAGGGAATGCATGGTCACAGCCCATCATTTTCAGATTCTTCATCCTTTATTCTTCTCTCTATTATGCTGGTCCATAATTTGCTTTGTTTAGTTCAAGGACAGCATCCGTCAAATTAATTTACCCTCATGGGAAATGTTCATTGTAGATATTAATCATCTTCACACTTAATGTTTTGCACCGTTTAGTTTTGTGTTCAGTTCGGTGTTGATGCTTGTGTTTATTTCTGCCATGTCATCTAATATTCTTTTGTCTTTTTTTTCTCCGCTCAGGTGGTCGCTATGGCGACTCTGGCCCCAGAAAAACGTAACCAGATCATTTCTGCAGCCTGTAGATGAATGGGATGACAATAAAGTTCTTTTTGTTCTTCTTTTCTTACTACAAAACGGAAGTGGATAGTTTTTTTTCTGGATTCATTTTTGACTCATAGGAATTAGATTATTTAAAAAAACATCGAAGGAAGAAGGGCCTTATAAACAAATGGTATACATATCACTAAGTTCAAGTTTTAGTTTTCTTATTTATAGTTAAAATTGCTGATGGCTATAGTAAATCACTGTGTCTGTGAACATGTAGTATGAACCTGTACAATCAATCAACATTAAAAAATCAGCAAAATAGATCCCACTGTTATCTGGTTATATGCAGTGATGAAAAAATGTGTGTAAATGTAAATATATGTAGATACTTTGTAATGTTGTCCTAAAATCTTGAAGAGAAATGTACCTGTTTTCAGTCATTTCCTGTCCACTCTGCAGCTTTCATTAGTGGACGTTCACAGTAAGGAGAGAGACTACAGTAGTGATCAAGTTATAACCTGCTGATAAAACATTTAATGCAGGGCTCTAAATGAGCTTCAGACTCTTAATGTCAGGGCCACGATGTTTAGAGCACTTTTCTGTGTGAAATTAATCATTTGAAAGTTTGCAAGCACTCCAGATCCATCCTCAATTAATTGTGAACGGATAGTAACAAATCCCTCCCCCGGAGACTGGACAGCATGTTTGGAGCGTGTCAGCTTAATTTACCCTGACCCCCTCTCCCTCTTCCATTAGAGCAAAACTTTTCAAAGTCTGCATGCTGCCAATGAAACAGTGAGTTAGTCGTGGGCATCTCATTAAGCTCTGTTTGCCAGGCTTGTATTAGTTGATGTTTTGACATATCTGAACCATTACATGTCTGCAGAAATAGCTAATAACTGTTCCTGTTTGCGGACTATCCATGCATCTACACAGACGTACACGTTTACGCAGAATGGAAACTAGAAAAGGTGACACAGGGCATTCTGGCAGTATTTGGAACAACAATATTTCTTAGGGGACTTAAAGAAATTGATTTCAAATGAACAAGCAATACAATGCTTTGAGGCTGTTAGTCATTAGATCTGATTAAGATGGGGTATTATAATGAATTTTTCAGCTCATTAATGCTATTGTATTGTATCTCAAAGTTCAGTGAATGTTTAATCTGGTTTTACGATCTTGGCTCTTGCTTTTGATATTGAATTTCATGTTTAAGGGCTACTCTGTACATTTACACTCTGCTGTAGTGAGACGTGAAGTTATTTATGGATCACACTGTCGATATTACTTTGTTTACACGTACAATACTGTGGAAATGCCTTGAGCAAGCTCTCATTTCTTTTTATTTCGCATCTAGTGGCAGACTTCCTGTAATCTTTTAAAGTGGTCTTGTACAATAGTTTGAGAATTTCTGAAAGTCTTTCAAAGGTTGCTTTTTCTCTCGCATTCAGTCCAGATCTTGACAAATGAAATTTTTAATTTAATGTTGTCATTTAAAACTGAGCTTTAAATCATTAAAGCATAAAATTGGAATGTCCAACTCAAAGGATGCATTATAAGAGATAAATTGGCAACAAATGGATTGAAAATTAAATCTTTAAGGATATTCACAAAAACACATTTTGTTCCTTTGTTCTTTGTCAAATCTGTTAAAATACCACAGTCTGATGAACATAAAAAAATATATTTCTACACACGAGCTGATTTCCAAAGATGTAGTGGTTGAAAACGTGGTAATATCACTGCATAGCGTACAAAATTAAATTCATAAAAAAGGACGAAATGGGGACAAAGAAGTAGCTAAACTAATGGGAAAAATTTAAAAAAGGTGCAGCAGGCTAAATGTTTGTAAAAAGGAAGGCTCTCCATTGAAGGGTGGCTGTCAAGAGGCCATTCTCAAGGACGGGAAATAGGGAGAAAAGGCTGAACTGCCAAAGGACACAAGAAATGGACTTAAAATCAGTGGTAGCAGGTCTGGTGGAGGGAGGAATCCTCCCCAGAACCCAGAGCTCAACACGACTGAAGCGATGTGGGATCATCTGACAGAAAACAGAACAAAAGGCTGCCCACATCCAAAGAACAGCTTTAGGACGTCCTTCAAGAAGCCTGGAGAGCTGCTTCTGAAGAAAGGACCCACAGCTCGTCTCAGAGGGGTCAGGCTGGGTTGGAGAGTAAAGGTTCTCAGAGAAAATACTGACTTTTTAGCCTTTTGTTCTGTATTTACATTGATGTTTGTACATATCTCAGACGTTCTTGGAAATGTAAAAAGAAATAAGAGTTGGCTCCAGATTTCTGCTGTGTTGTATGAGTGATGCTGTTGTGACTTCTTGCACTTGTAAGTCTTTTATGGTCAAACCTAGGCTCTCTCCATAAAACAGTGTGCCTTTTGTTCTGGCAAAATACTTTGTGAATAAATCTTATGAATAAGCTCAATCATACTTGTTTTTCAGAGGAGGGAATCAAACGACTTGGCAGTGTGGAGGATTTATTAAGTTACGTGTGATGAGTGACTGGAGACGTAAGAGTTAATTAAAATCTAGGAAGAGACCAAACACTGAACTTGAGGTCAAGTTTTTTCTCTTATTAAATAAGAGAAACTGTGAAGCACCAAGATTTTTAAAAATCACAGTCAAAGTGTTCATCTTACCAGTCCCAGATGCTATTCATTACTGGCTTCCAGTTGGCAAACAGTGAGAAAATTAGGATCCTTCACACAGAAACATTTTCATTCAATGAATTTAATGATGACTTTATTCTTACTTTTCTTAATCAAGCAAAACTTGTAACAATTTAGACCATAAAAGCACCCACACAGCTCTTTTACTCGATGAACTGTCGGATATCTATTTCAGTTTGTACACCTCAGGCACAGAATGTACAGTATGTGACCTGTAGTCATATAGTACATCACAATTATTCAAAGAATGAGGAGTTCATGAGTTTACTCTCAAACAAATGAGGTCCGAAATAAAAACACATTTGTTATATACCATTGCGATTTATTTATCTAAGCTTTAAAATAAGAATTTATCACTCTTAAAACTCAATTTATCTGCATTCACAGTCGTGTCAGGGATATCGACAAAACAAGAAAATCTCTTAATAAGTATAAGTTCTCGTTAAGGTAATGTCATTAACAGCAGTGGAAAAATACACAGCGGAGGGGGAGGAAAGGAAGGACTGCTGAAGAGTTACATTAAGGAAGCATGTTTGAGCAGATGCAGAATTTTTTTTTTCTTCAGTGCAGCAGGATGAAATAAACCATTTGCTCAGTTGTTAGTAGGATATCAGAAATCAAGATGTGCTCAAAACTTCAACTATTAAAGAAATCTGTACAACAGACCCAGAGAGAAAAAAAAACACAACTTAAAAATCTTGTTTCCAGAGAATAGATCAAGCTTCTGTGGGGTTTATTTGCTGGCTGGTGCGGTACTACCTCCTCTTGACCGCTGGCCTGGTTCCCTTGCTGCTGCTGCCTGCCTTGCTGGGGCCTTTGGAGCCAGAGAAGAGCTTGGTCATGAGCTCGGAGACATCTGGAAGCTCTGGATTGGGGTTCAGCATGTTCATGGACTGCTCCATTTCCTGCAAAGATGGCACCCGACAAAAGGATGCGGACAAGGGAATGAAGCAAATTATAAACCAAATTATGCGTCTAAAACTGACTCTCAGATATCTCACAGTATCTATGGAGCTTACAAAAAATAGACTTGGAGACTAACCTTTCTCATCTCTGGGTCATTGGTATTGACCACCTTGGGTAGCAAAACTATAATCAGCAGAGGGAGGACCATCATCATGACCTGCAGAAGATTTTTTGGGGAAAAAAGGAGTGCACATTCTTTATTTCTTAAAAAAGAACAAAAAATGTCATTAACTTAAAAAAAAAAGTTAAAAAATCACAGACAAAAAAATTCAACAAACTAGTCCTGACTGAAAACACATGCACCCTCAATCAACACAAATGATAGTCGAATCAAATTACATGAAAAACAGCAACAATCGATAAATGGATAAAAGGAAAGCAAGTTCGTTTGTTGCTCTAAACCTGCCTTATCTCTAATTCGCTAACGAGAAGAACACAAGTCACATGTATTCAAGCTTGCAGTGTTTTCTGACCATTGGGTTCATGAGGAAGTCAGTCCAGCCCCATGTTTCTCTCTTCATGAAGTAGGTGTGAGGACCGGAAGACCTGACCTGAAGAGGGTAGGGCTGGCGATTCACCTCTGAAGTCTTGATGTAATTCACAAGACGTGCCCTGTGGAAAAAAAAAACAACACACAAAATTTGTAGATGCCTGGATGCTGTTTGCTGACCAACATACAGAAACAAACCCACGCAACATGCAGCGCATGTAGGCGTTTTGGGCCTCTCAACACAGTAAGATCTTACCTCATCTTCCCCTTGGATGTTATATCAACACGTACAGGCTCAAATCTGTATGTGGGGGTAACGACTTCCACGACATACGATCCTGAAGGAACGTCGTTCACAGCAAAACTCCCATCAGTTCTGCAACAAAAGAACCGGATAGTTTTACTGAGGATGCTTCACCTCTAGTGGGTGCAGTGGTACACACCAGAAAGAAAATGGGTGGGAATAATTTCACCCCCTTAACATCCATCCAACTACAAAGACTCCTGCATTTTAATTGTGTGTTGCATATGCATCTTTGGATAGATATTAAGACTCTCAAAGAGGCTTTTTGTGAGGGATACGCTGAAATCATAAATAAGTGTTACGTCAGAGTTGCACGACAGTAACATTCTGGATTTTAATTGCGCTGTCACTTACTGATACAGTACTATTTACAACGTTTAGTGGTTAACATATGATCTGACCAGAGCACGCGCCCCTGCAGAGGTTAAGACCCAAACAACAGGCACGACTCCCGCAGGTCAGGGTTTTTTATGGCAACAGTTTACTATGAAAGCCGAGTAGTTTCGTCAGGAAATCAACAACTGCGTGCACTGACAGCTTGGACAGAGTTAAACCCACGATTGTCAAGCTATAAATGACTTTGGACATTTTGAATTTGCCATCTGGCCGCAGCAGCTGCCGCACGGCCACCGGCGGCGTAACTCCAGGTTTAAGCTGCTAGCTAGCAATGCTAACGCTTCCTGGTTAGCAAACGGGCTAAGCAGCTAGCGGTTTTACCTGGAGCCATTTCTTACCTCAAAAACCCAACATATTCTTCACCCTCAACAAGTACTCTGGCTGTTGATACCCAGTCTTGAGTCTTTACTCCGGGAACTATTGCTCTTCCCTCGATTTTAAACCGATCTCCGTTCGACTGTGTCGATACACCTGCACCAGGCCCCGTATCCATGTCAGTGAAACACCAAGCCACGACGAGCATAGCCTGTGCCAAAACCCATAGCAGAGGTATTCTTTCCCTGTGCAGCATAATGGCTGTTTTTACTTGACTAAAACTATCCCTGATAGAATATGTGTCAGCATGTAGTCCGTGGCAGGTTACGGAAGAAGCGGATGATTCCTAAATCAGCTGTCTGCGCAAGATGACGTCATTTACAAAAACCTTTATTGAACAACCCGACAATCACATTCTGCCAACGTCGCTGTCCGGTTTTAATTTCCATCCATTTAGAATTTCATTTCTATCCATTTTAAATGTATGAATTAACATATTGATAAATGTTTAATCACTTGTATAGAATACAAATAAGTACATTTCCAACTAAATTTAAAAAGTATATATATACTGTATGTATTTTCAAAAACACCTTTTGGTCCCAATTAGTCCATTTCATTATTTCAGAACATGTTAAAAAGTTTTACAGAACTATTCATATTTTTTTCTTTTTTGTGGCAAGTTTTAGATTGTATGTGTAATTCAGTTGCTGACAAAAAAGATCGACAGTTTAAATAATAAAAATTAGGAACCTTAGAAGCATGTTTTGACCAATACCAAGATCACTTGGTGTTTAAGTAAATACCAGTTACTGCAAAGACGTCATTCATATATGCAGTTTGTGAATGTGTTTTCAGCAGTTCAACTTGTACAAGTAAGATTATCACAACCAAGTTCTGATTTTTATCAAATTTATTTAAAAGAAGATTAAGAGAATCACTTGTTTTGACATTTTACATTTATACAGCCAAATGTCACATCAGGAGGCAAAATTAAAACAAGGAAAGTACTTATAATAACTTAAAGACTCTTGCAGTTTCAAGTTCCTGATTCTAGAGGACCCAGGCGCAACACACAAAACATCAGGGCATTCAAAACATAACCAGGAATGGTGAAGAGACAAAGACCTTGGCACTTCATAAAGCGACATTACACTTTATCTCATGGAGGTCCAATAAAACATGTCCCCGCACAAGATGGTCCACTTCAATGTGAAGCAGTCATTTGCTGTCCAGAAAGGCTCTTGCTGCCCCTCCTTTTGGAATCTCTCCAGCTCAAACCGAGAGGAGTTGTCTGAATTGTCAAGTTCAGTCCCATTTAAGAGGTTTGAGTGTAAAAGCAGAATGAACCGGTCCGTGTCTGTGGTGGCATTATCAGTTCAACACAGCCATTTTTGACAGTAGTGGTCACATCCTTCAGAGCGCTGCGCTGACCACAGTCAGGGCAGCTGTGACAGATAAGCCCGGATGGCCTGCAACACAGAGACAGCACAGCCGGTGAAACACTCGCACAGTCAACACAGACACATCCGCCGTGAAACTGTCATCACTTTTCTTTATTGTACATCAATAAATAAAATGATATGCTTTATGTGATGACCAACTTAAACAAACACTGACTGCATTTCCTTCTCCCTGCAAAGCAGGACTTGGAAAAACTAACCGCAAAAAAGAGCTCTTAACCTGGAGCTTTTCTTTAAACAATGGGAGTGGTTGTCTGTGTCCACCCAAAACAAACAAAGACGATAGAATAACAGGCACTAGCACGGTCTGGAAATACTGTTTTGTGATGTGGGAGGTTGGAATAGCTTTGAGTCTTGTAAATGGGACGGGTGACCGAAAGCCTGCAAGAGGAATCTAGTTATGCCACCAGTCTTACCTTTGCCAGCTCTCCCACTGATCCTGGTATCAAACATAACCGGGCTCCCTCCTTCCACAAGTCCTTCAGTCGCTGCTTCATAGCATCAACATTCCTGCAACAAACATTTACAGATCATGACCAATACAGTGAAGAAGAGCTTTGCCACAGGAAACTCAGTATTGAACAACTTTGGCAAAGACCTAAACAATGAACAACATATCAGACAGGAAAATAAAATTTAAAAAAATCGGAAAGTGTTGCTCTTCTAAGGACTGAATTACAGAACGTCTTTATGCAACGTTCAGAAGAAGACAGAGACATTCCGAATGCTGTACTGCCCACTCAGACACATGGCACTACTTGACCAATGACAGCTTCCCGTTTTTCAACAAGGGAGATGTCTTTTTGACAGAGGAATCCAGAACAAACGGGCAGAAACGAGGGCACGTCTTGTGCGTTTTAAAACAGCAGAATTAGTCTCCGTTTGAGTCTGCAGATGGAAACACAATCCGTTCCTCCATGCCAACATCAGGGGGATACTTTGGAATCTGACATGAGACCAGAGGATCCCAAAATAAAACCTCCAAAAGAAGACACTCAGGACGCAACCCGATCATATGCGCGGCCACCTCCGCTGGCTGGATATGATGGGAACGAGCAGACGCTCCGCACCACTTTCAGCCCTTTCCAGCAGAGTTTTCCCCGGGGCGTCACGCTGCCTCCATCCTCTTCCCTTCTTTCTATAATACATCCTGCTGCCATCTCCTCCCTGTGTAAACGACACGTCCTCTCGCGAATCCACGCAATGGAGCAGCAAATGTGTTTCAACAGGCCCGGAACACCTTCTCTGAGCACTTCATGGTCGTATAGAAGCACTCGTGCCCACTGCAAAGCTCTGAGCATCACGGCCTCCAGCACAGGCAGCGGGGAGTCAGTCTGAGCTGCGGTGTTTATTTTGCAAGCGTGAAATGCCCACCTGTCTTCTGAACGACTGTCCTGCAGTCTCTTCTCGTTTCTTGAAAGTTCTGGCCACCATTTCTTGATGACGGATTGAACCCAGTGTAAACCCACTTTGATGTGCCTGAATGAAAGGACCAGAAGAAGGAAAAAATAAATGAATTCCCACTTATTGCCGCTCATCCAAAAAGATTCATCAGATTTCCGACCATTAATAATTCATCAGAAAAGCCGAGCTCCTTGGATGAGTGCCAAAACATTTCAAAGCGTATAAGAAGAAAACATCCTGCCTATAAACCAGCATCTCAATAAAATATATCTGAGAGGGGAAGATCATTAAAATAATTCACACATTTCTCTAATGCTACTTACTCTTCATATTTACTGGCAAGAATAACTTTGACTTGAGGCATGAGGTCAACACAGCAGCCAAGTGACAAACATGGTGCTTCAGTTTGAAGGCTGATGAGAGAGGAGGGAAAGAAATACGAGTTTATCAGCAGTGAAGGCAAACAAAAACAAACAAAGTAAGACTCGACATGTCTTGATTGTGAACTTCAACCTTTCAGTTCTATTAGAATAGGTAAACTATTGACTGAACACTTAAGACGATGAAAACGTAGCGGGGGATTTTATTATCTTTTTTAGTTCTTTAGAATTTATTTTAGATCATGAAAAAGTCAAAACATTTATGTTACCCCCACTCTCTGGGAACCTTACAAGGACATTAAACAACCAGGATGTAAAAGCTCAGTGGGACTTACTTGTTTGTTAAAATAGGTAAGCAGTCAAGTAGCACACCCGTGTCTTGTATTCTGGGCAACAAACACAACTGAAGATGAAGCACACTGCACAACTGAGGACTAGTCACAAAACTCCAAACAGAGACATCATCACGGTTTTACCTGATCAGGTAGGCCACTAATTCACAGGCATTTTTCCGCCACAGTGTTAGGGCCACTTTAAGTCGAAGATCTCTTCCAAAAAGGACTCGAGTCATGGCTTCGTGGTCCTTCGATAGCTACAAACACACAAAAGGAAATGGAAAAAACATTGATTAAGAACAGTTCTTATCACATAACTCATCTTCTAATAGGCAACACACTGAGCTCTGTCTCTCACCTCTGTGAAGTCACTGTATTTGGAGCTGGCCCCTGCCATCTTGGAGGCCTCTGCAGAGTTCACCGGCTGCCCACAGTTGTCATAGCAGTGAATGCCCCGAACATCAGAGCATGCCACCTCATTTTCTTTATTGGCCATACCGGGCTTACGGGGATGGCCTACATCTGAGGACCTGCGGTGAAGCTTTTTGCCCCCCTCCACCGAAGCACAACTCTTCCTCTTGCAAGATGACAGCCTCTTCGCTTTGTATTGCACTTGAAATCTGCCAAGATTGAAATCACAATGGAGCAAAACATACATTTGAAAAAAACAAACACGCAAACAAAACACATCAAATTCAAAGCCACAAACAAACTGATAGTGGTGGTAGTTATGGAAAGTTTTCTTAATGGTCCAGAAAGGAGTGATCTGTGGGACACAGCCAGTGAGTGAATGATCATAGTTCGATGAACCCCACAGATGTGGATTAGAGACTCACCTGTCTTTATCTAATTCGTCGTTATTATAAATATCCACCTAAAACAAAAGGATAGGGAATGAAGCCACTACCAAAGACTCTACTGCTACAATCCTACAAAGTGCACTTCACTGTCACCAGGACGTAACACACAAGTAGGCAGATTGGGAGAGTTTAAGGTTCCTCCTCATACCTGATTCATATTCTTTTCAGTAGAAACATGCAGGCAGGATTGCAGAAAGCCATTGGTTTTATTGTGGTTGATTTCCCGTTGCCAAACATTACCAAATGCCATAGTCAAAGACCCTGTTGGAGAAACAAATGTTTTACAAACTCACAGTTCCGGGTGTATGTATTTATTCTACGATGCAACAAAGTGTTTCGAAGAGGTTAAACGCACACATTTAAATGTGGTAAACAAACCACTATTTGTTAGCTAGACAGGCGTTGGCTGTTAGCTCGTTACACCGCAGATATCACTTTAAAGTGACTAAAGTTGAGCTGCTACTGTTCCTGCTTTGCAACACAGTAACCTTCCGATCTCTAAAGAGGAGCAGCATTGGATTTATTCCCGTGTCTGAGTTCAGAAGCAGCCCGTGCTGCACTTAGGTCACAGTTTAGCTGCAATTATTAGCTGAACGGTGAAGAAAACACGGAGACGTACGTTAAGGGACCAGCAGGGCCGCGGAGCTAGCTAGCTCGCTACCTTGTTAGCATCCTGCCTTATGGAACATATGGCTCTGTAAAAGGTAATTCAAGTATTCTCGCCATTTACACAACAGAGTCGAATACCAACCGATTCATTTTTGTGGCGTGTAACAGGGGCTCTTCTGGTGTGTAAATCCAAAAAACGTGAAAAACTGGTTCAACTCAAAGCGCAACTCCCGTCTGTGTTCCCTTAGCGTTTCACAGTTTTACCATTCAAATGAATACACCACCGGTGTGGAGGGATTGTGGGATTGATTTTGGCCCCCAAAACTCTACAGTTTGTGTAGTTTTAGCGACGACTGCTGGACGTTACAAAAACTGTTACTCCTAAATGTGGTATAGCGCTATCCAGTGGCGAGTAGTGTGTCACACGTGAACTCAGGAGCGCATGCGCAAATTGAACAAGGCGCGTCTCAAAAAGCACAACACTGTAATAAAGAAAGAAAGAAAGAAAGAAAGAAATAATGACATCAAAAAGTAGTTCAATTAAATGAAATCAAGAAGTCTAAGGCCAGTTAATCGAAAATTTTTGTTATTCCTACACCAGCAAAAAAAATATATATATATTGGGGTTTAAGCTCATTGTTGCAAGACAGGTTTACAAACGGTCTTGCAGCAGTGGAACAGTTTTACTTGAAAGGGACCAACGATGTGTAAAATACAAAGGGAGTGACACTGGGAAAGAATAATATGATAATATGATTTGGCTTAGCAAATGCTTTCAGTCCTCCACATGACTGTCATTTGATGTACCGTTCTTGCTTTTTAACGAATGAGCAAAACAGAAAACATTGTGGAATAGGCACTAGTCATTCAATTAATGGGTTAGTGAGTACATTTTGAACTTTGAGTGCGTGACTTTCCACCAAAAGCCTTTGTGATTGCTGTTATGTATGTCAGCAGTTGGAAATAAACTCAAGCAAACCAACACACATGCATCAGATCATTTTGGAAATTCAACAGAAGAAGATAACATTGTAGAGCTTCTTCCTCTCATCCTGTTCTTGGCTGTTCCTTCAACTACACAGATGAGCTGAGTATTTCTGTGGGACATTTCTCTCTGACCACATTTCATGTTATAGTTGAACATGCATATCTTGGGATTTTGAGAGACTTAAACAATGCGGCAGTGATCAGAACAGCTGAAAGGCTCCATCCACTTATCCAAAAGCAATATCTCAATTCCACTTTATTCCAGGTCCTCATCATAGTTGTCATATTCAGTTGTCTCCTGTTGCATTATTTTGTTGATGGATTCTTTGCCACCACATTGTTCTTAGTTTATTCACTTCTTTTAACACCACACCTGACAACATCACAGCAGTTTTGGATCAATAACTATGAAAAGAAAGCTTTTTTTGTGGGTGTGAGGGAATTTCCATTTGCCGAATTATCGAACACACTAAGGTTGAAAGAAGGAGTAAATAAATTGAAGAAAAATGCTCTAAAAATCCACCTTTGTTCAAAGAACAATAACCTTTCTTCTGAAGTCAAAATTTGAAGATGAAAGGACATCTCGGAGTTTGCACACAAGGGCCGATTGATTCTCAAGGCCCAGAGGGAAAAGAGATGATCAAGGCAGAGGGCACAGGACAAGCACATTAATTAAATCAGGCAACACAAAAGAAGTGGCAAGGGGGGGAAGACTAAAGTAAATAAATGAGAAGTTTCAAATCATGAAGACTAAACAAATAACATGAAAGAAAACACACAAAGACATCATGTGTATTCATTTTGAGCAGAAATGATAAAGACTCAAAAGACAGTGTCTGTGGAAAACAGTTATATTCCACAGCATGATTGAATAAACCCACTTCATGTCTTCTGTGTGTGATATGTTCATGTTTGATATATTCTGGTTCTGCTATAGTTGCATTTGAATGTTTCCTTGATAATAATCGCAACTAATTTCTTAACAGAAATTGTTAATTTTTGGTGTGTTCATTTGCACATTCAAAAAACACCTTTTTTAAGAATAAATAAATATGGCTCTCTAATGTTCATGCCTCTTTGAAAGCCACAGGACGTGACAGCCCATGGGCTGTAGATGGTGCAATGCACTCTGGTTTGGAGTACAGAGCCCCACAGAAACACAAGATGTATTGAAAAGGCAGTCTCAGGGAAAAAATTAAATGAACCCAAATCAGCTTTTATTTTATCTTACAAATGACAGTTGTTTCAAAGACTTGAATACCAATTAGTGAAGAGGTTAACCAAACAATACGTTTCATTTGTTGCAGATAAGCTGCAATAAGAAGTGTGGCCGATGGGTATATATTCATGTATTTTGACCATGAAAAGAACTTCAACTCAGATGCTGTTTTTTGATTAACCAAAATTACCTTAATGATCATGTGATGACAAGTACCCCCTCTACATAAAAAAACACAAAAAAAATCTATGTAAAACATAGATCAATTCTCCAGGATGAACAAGGAAATACAGAGTATTAAGGTTCTGATTAATGTGTCACACCTGCAATGTATGATGATGAAGATCTTCCAGATGAAATGTCTTGTCTATATTTTTATTTAGCTGAATACATACCCTCCCATAATCCTACTAAGAATAAATGGTAGAGACATGGAAGGATGGAGACTCAGCTCAACTATCCCAGATTTTTAAAAGAAGAGAAAACAATATACTTAACGATTAAAAAAACAAAAAAAGGACAATGTACAGGAAAATGAAATGCAACAGTTAACGGTGTAATGGCCAATGCCGAGAAGGATTTAAATAATTTAAGACTAATCCCATTCTACAGAAAGAAAGAAACTCCACAGTTTGTGGCTGTCTCTGTCGCCAGACAGCCACAAAAATGAAAATGTCTGGTGACCGTTTGTTCCTCATTTCCCAGATTTGAGTGCAGCCGTACCTACCAACCAAAACATAGCAAATCCTGATGGGTTTAGTTTCTCCTGTGAGACAAATTGAAACGCATGTCCGGTCGCTGTATATGAACCACATCCAAAGAAAATGTTCCAGTTATTTGTGGGAAGCATAATTAGATTTTTTTTTAAAATCTTTGGTAAATTCTGGTTACAGCAGAAGTCTAAGAATTCAAACCTCACTTAACTGCCATTAAAAGTCGCAGATATCCAAACAAAATCTCCTTTTGTGTGGTAAAATGTTCATTTCAAGTTGTTCTGTTTTACTTGTGTAATATTATTTAAACTGACCTTCGTTTTATGAGCGCACCCACGAAACACTGCAAAGCCTTTAAAATTACAAACCTGCTTTCAATTAAAGGTAAAACTTGAAACTCATGAATACAAGTTGTTCCTTTAATTTAAGAAAATGTTATTTTGTTTGTTTATTTTAAGTCATTTGTTTAATTTTTGTCAGACCACACATGAGAAAAATGTAATAACATGCAATGCAAAGCCTAAGAATGTTATTTTTAAGCATGATTGTTGAGAATGTTAATAGTGTCTTTTTGTGAAATCTTATAACAGTTTGATATCAATGACATGCAGGAAAACAGGGACTTTTTCACAGTCTATTATTCATTTTTTGAGAGAAGCTGTCTTGAGTTAGATCTTTTAATGAAATGAACACAACCATTTTTTGGCTAAGTTGAGAACCTTCTAGTAAAATCATGCTCATAAAACGATAAATATATTGAACCTAACAGTCCAGGGAAGCAGCACCTCATGCAACATGCATGGCAGAAACACAACTATTTGAAGTTAGTTAAGTATTTTCCAGGTTTGCACTAGAAGGGCAGATGTTTGTGATTTTGCATCCCATTCCAGAGTGGTAGTTCTGAAACTTCTAGCTGCAAACCAGTCTCACAGGCATATGTTAGCCATCAAAAAGTGCATTGTTTTGATTTGAAACAGCTTAGCATTTAGGACCTTCTATCTTAAAACTGGGGCAGATTAAACCATTTGAAATGAATTGCTTTAAGCCTTGGCAAGTTTGAATGACATTGTTTCTGCTAAAGTAAAGCTCATGCACGTTTAGGAAATTGAAATTGTTCACATTGATTACAATTATTATCAAAACTCAAGATGTTTCTGACATTCATTTATGTTGTGCAGATTACCGTCTGTTCACATGAGCCCCAAATCGTTCCAGAAGCTTCCGGGTGTGCTCACTTGAGCTCCCTGGGGTTTCCACAGCAGACGTCCTCTTTAAAAAATTACACTCTGATGAACACGGAGCGCTAAGTCTGATCTTTTCAGATAAAAGCAGCCACCCACAAAGGCGGTACGAGCATTAAGAGATTTACATTAGCAAGGAAGGATTTGTATAGCAAATTTCCTTCAGATCTAAGCACAGTGCTTGTTAGACTCTGCGGGCGTTTGATATTTAAGCTGGAATTTGTCTGGGCCGCAGCCAAAACCCCTTCATATTTACAAAAGTCTAAGTTTCAGCAGGATGAGCTTATGGCTAAGAAGCAGGTCTGGAAGTGCATTAAACCTGTTTCCGGTGACACGACAATGGGACCGTTTTTTTTAATTTTTTACTAATTCATCAAAGTCTATGACATGAAAACAAAGGCTCTTTTTAGCTCCAGAGATCAGACCTTGCAACAGACATGCAACAATAATAAAAAAGGGCACAGAGGTTTGATAGTTTCAGATCACAATAATTAGATAGTTGTCTTCTATATAGCAAAACAATTTTTGACTCATGTTTTTTGGCAGGTGTGGTTCGGTTCAGTACGGTGGTTATTTCGCATTGATACTGGCCACTGTAAGAAGAGTAATATGGAATCGAGACCTGAGCAGCAAAACAGAAATGAGCATTAATAAATGCTAGCAGCCTTTGGGGTTAAATTTTCTCGCAAACAAGATAATGGGAAAGAACTCGGATTGTGAAAGTTTTGTGTTCAGTGGCATTAAAAACCAAAAATTTAGCATTGTTCTTATTTGCATGACTGATCACAGATTTTTTTTTATGTGAGGCAGGTATTACAAGCAGACCGTTTCCTAAAATCCATTAAGTTATTTCTTTTTTCCTTTCAAAGTCAGATTAAAATGGCTTGAATGGCAACTGAATTATCTTTGATCCTTGATTGCTGGTAAAATTCAGCATTGAAACTAGGAGTGTGAACAACCTTTGCATGATGGTCTTAAAATGGGGGGGGGGCAGCGTCTCTTAAATCTGATGTGAGAAAAAGTGCAAAGACAAAGGGGTACAGGAAACCAACGGAGGTCTGAGAAATAACGCAGGCGGCTTAAATTCTCAAAGTCACATCAAAGAGAAATTACAGTCCGTGAACAAGTGACAGCAAGTT